AAGCTGGATCGCTCATTAGGAGTGGAAGGAGCTGTGGCCCCGCTTATCGGCTGGAGATTGCGCGCGTCTGTCAAGCGGGCCGTATCGTCGTAGGTGGGGGAGAAGTAGTCGTGGTCTTCTGAGGTAGATCTGTCGACGTATGGTTCGTGCCCATAGGGTGTATGTGTGTAGGACATGGACGATGCCGGCGTGGGTATTGGCGGCGATGTGTCGCCCTGGAATTCCATGCCCATGCCGAATCCAATGGCCGTCTGGTATGCGACCGCGTCCAAGGGCGAGCCAGGCCCTTCGTCGTCCACGACCCTTCGGATGCCATTATGCGAAGGGGGCAGATTGGTGTTTATGTGCGGCGGTGCGAATCGCGTAGGGCTGGGCGACACCTCTACGATGGGCGAGTACTGAGAGTCGCGGAAATGTCCCCCTGTGCCTATCGCGCCGGCCTGTCTGAGCAGATTGCGCCCGCGGTCGCTGAGAGTGCGCCGGTGTTCTTGCGACGCATCCTCTTCGAAGGCGTCGGGTGGGCGATTGAGGTCTTGCAGAGGTATTGATTGGTGGGGGTGACTTCGGCCGTGGTTGGGATCCGGGTAGGACATCGGGACGTCCTGTCTGATATGCGGCGTTCAACCCAGCATCTGAACCAACTAGCTCTCCCAGAATGCTATTGCGCGATCATGCAGGCGTCAGAACAAACGTAAGCGAGTGTCGTAGCGTAGAGAGAGCGTGGCAGCGATGGCGAGAGCGGTAGGTGGCGCGTAGCAGTCCAAAGGGCGCGTGTGGTGTGTTTGGTGGGAAAGAGTTGGTTGAAATGCGGGATGGATGCGGATTCCCAAGCACGGACAAGGGTGTAGTGAGCGACCAGGATGCGCGGCTTAGGCTAGGGCTGAGGGTTAATTTTAGTTTAACGTCTACGGTACTTGTCGTGTTTGGCATGTGTCATCGCTATCCTGTAGACGGTGCCATTACGAAGAACATGAATCTGTTATGCGATTATTTATACGGCATTTGCTCTCCAAGTCAAAGCGAACCACGATACAGCATGAGTAACCAACACCACCCAGGAATCCGAAACTGCTGACGGCTTACCATGCAACGTCTCTGGCCCCTGGCGTGGAATCCTCCGGCAATGAGCCACACTTGGTGGAGCTGTGGCTTGTGCACTTGCGTGAGCCACGCGGCCTTACATCGTCACCTCCTGTCATCATGGCCGTGACGATGATAATTTCGGTGGCTTGGTGGAGTCCCAACCGACGGCCGGTCGAATTGTCCATTCTGTCACGAAAGACCGATACTCTTGGAATGCGCATATCCTGTAAGACGGGTGCATTAAGGTTTATAGGGACTGGTCTTAGTAAGCGGCCTACATTCATGCCATGCACTCGATATGCCATTGCCATAGCTCTGCCTGTGTAGTACAAGCAAAGCCGCTGTTTGCGTTCTTCATCATCGTCATGAGTGTTCTGTCTCTGCCAGATTGCATGTGCAAGGCTGGGCCGATGGCGCCTTACCGCTTTGGGCCTCCCCCGGACTCGCCGACAATCGACGCGCGACATTCATCACTCACATCACCAAAAAGGGACATCGGCACTCGCATCATCGCCCTACCCACGAGCCCGCCGACACCACGACAGCATTACCCATCGCCATCTCACAACGCGCATCTGCTACCCACCATTTCTGGCCTCTACACCATATCCACACGTAACTCACACGCGTCGCCGCACGCGAGGCACCGCAGCCATGCCGTCTCGAAAACGCGCCGCCGACGAAATGGAGGCCGAGGCGCCTGTTGAAGAGCCCAGCACACTGCAAAAACTGCGCAACATGTGGCAGTTTGCAAATCTGGCCCAGTACATCAGTCTCTTTGGTGACGCGGTCAAAATCGACAAGGACTTTGACATCGAGGTACATGCCCTTTGCGCCTGGCATCCCAGCCCGGCGCGCATATGTTCTACAAGGACCACGAGCTGACACACGTGCAGGAATTGGAATCCGAATGCCTCCAGCCACAGCCATCCGACAAACTCGCACAAATTGGCCTAGCGCTGCTGAAGCACGTATCGTCACACAAGGGCTTGACGTAAGACCTGGCCATTGCGCATATTCTCGATAGTACTGACATGATGGTAGACCCGAAATCTTCGATGAATACACCCGCCGACAGTATGTCGCGAAAGCGCCCGCCCGAAACCCCTTTGGCGAGGAAGAGGAGCCCAACAAGTTCCACGACTTCGACGTCTTCACCAAAATACGCGTCTTGCAACAACTTTCCGTATGGACGCTCAACAACCCGAACACAATAAGGGAGAAGATTGGAGCGACGGACAGTGAGCAGACACTATGGGTAAGCATCACTGGGATTGGTGCAGGGCAACGACTAACATGCCACAGCGTATGGAGCCCACGGGCTGGGACTCGCAAGAGCGATCGCTATTCGTTCTCGACGACAACCGCATGTACCGAATGACCGATCCACCACCTCCTCCCGAACCTACCAAAGCCAAGGCCAAATCCAAACCAAAGCCCAAGAAATCGAGAGGTTCAAGAGCCAGCAAGCGACAAAAGGCGTCCACTCCCGAACCCGAAGAAGCTGAGGAGGAGGAGCAAGCAACTGAAGAGCAACAGCCTCAAGAGCTTGACGACGGTCTCGGCGGCAAGAAGTGGGAGTGCATTTGCGTCACCTTGGAAGACTACCAGGAATACATGAGCAGCATCCGGAAGAGTCGCGATCCAAACGAAAAGGTTCTATACAAACGCCTTCAGGAAGACGTTATGCCTGTCATGGAGGGGCTGGCAGAGGAGCAAGCAAAGAAGCAGGCCCGCAAGATGAAGGAGTTGGAGAACATGCAGAAGCTTGCTACAGCGAAGCGCTCGTCCCGAATCTCGTCGCGACTCGAGAAACAGAAGGAGGTTGAAGAAGCCGAGGCTGCGGAACGTAAGAGGCAGGAAGAACTTGCCATGGCCAAGGCGGAGCAAGAGAAGCAAAAGAAGATGGAGGAGGCACAGGATTCTCGCAGGATGACTCGTGAGCAACGGCTGAAGGAGCGTGAGACGGCAAAGATTCTGAAAGAAGAGGAGCTGCGTAAACTGCACGAGAACGAACAGAAGCTGGCCTCAAACAATGCCAGGCTATCGGAGCGACACCTGAAAGCCATGATGAAGAAGCATGAGAGTGATCTCAAGAGGCTTAACGAGGAGGAAGATTGGTTCTTTGACTGCGAGAAGTGCGGCACTTACGGCTCCAACCTGGTGAGTATTACTGCACATCGACCATGCATTCCGCTGACTTTAGTAGAACGACAACACCCCACAAATATCGTGTGAGAAGTGCAATGTCTGGCAACACATGAAGTGCCATCACATCACAGAAGAACAGGCCGACGATTCGAAGTTTACGTTTGTTTGCACTGCCTGCAAGCGTAAAGAGGGAGAGGCGGACGAGCCGAAACTCCCTTCTCTCAAGCTACGATTGACATCTCAGTCACCACGAAACCAAGCAGAAGCAAATGGCAACGGCCCCTCTATGTCAACGAACTTGTTTGACGCAGTACAACTACCACGACCACAAGCTTTCCAGCCCTCCATGCATCCCGCACAGCCATGGGTCGATGGCCCGAGTCTCTCTCCCCGTGGTCAAGCTCTAGGTCCACCTGGCATACAAAGGTCGGAAGCCGCATATGGATCACCCACCAAGGGCGCGAACGGTAGCATGTCATCGCCAATACGATCTCACTTCTCGTCTCCTGGGCACAGAACTGGCAACGGTCCAACATCGTCACCTCCACCGTACAACCTCGAACGGATACCGAGCAGCCCAACAAAAAGCTTCCACATGCCACAGCCACAGCAGAACGGCAGCTCTTTCGGCGGTCCCAACCCCTTCAACTCGAATCCATTCGGCCCACCACAACCCGCAGCACCGTATGTGCGGAGCTTCAGTCGCCCAGCATCAGCAGCAGGCCCAGGCGGCTCACCAGTAAAGCACTCACCAGCTGCCTCCCCCCGTCCAACCAACGGCCTACCACCAAGCTTCAACTTCAACAGCCCGCACTCCTCCTTCCCACCCAGCTCCGCCAACCGCCCCTCCTTCTCCCCGACCAAACACAGTTCGCCCGCGCCCCTCCCAGCAAACATGTCCTCCCCGGCCCCAGCACCAATGCGCATAGCTCCATCACCATCGTCCCAAATGCCCGCGCAGATGCTCCCAGACCCCATTCCCGCGCCCTCAAAACATGACGCGATGCGCCCAGTATCGAGCCACCAAATGTCCGAGACGCCTATCTTCCCGCCCGTCAAGAGCCTGGAACCGCTTTCCAGTCCGACCATCCTTGATCCGCCCGTCAAGAAGTCGAGTCCGGCGCCGAATAGGATTCTTGACGTAACAAATGGTTCGAACGGATATGATCATGGAAGCAGTCAGTGAGCCTCTGATGCACCCGATGCAATTTCAGGTCGGAGGTTCTGCACTTTCTCTCATGGCCAAAAGGATAGGCCTCTTGTTTCAGCAAGGCTACGTCAACCCTTTACACCCTGTTTCCTTTTGCCTGCTATCCCCTGTTTTTCTTTCAGCAACCGTTGCGGCGTTTTTGGGTATCAAGGGCAACACGTCAACTAGACATTTCATAACAAGTCTGGCTCAGGTCCATCTCTTGCATAATTAGGGTATATGGAGTGGGTGGGGTTGGGGCATGTCGACGGGACGATGTTTTTCTCTGGCAAGAAAGCATTAGTGTGGGTCATGAAAAGACGGTTGCATGCATGGAGTATACTTGCTTGGTTTTGAGCGTGGTTTCTTGCGGCTTATAGCTTTGTTTGACTCGGGGCGATGGATTGATTGAAAGGCCCTTTTGTATTATTAGATGTACCATTGAGAATGGAAAATTGACTTTATTGTACAGTGAAATGTCCAGGTCATGTCATGCGTTATGGGGCGGTATGCGAAGGGGTATCTTATGCATCTCCTCACATCGCAAGTAAGATATAGATCCAGTCTTCTCACCAAACTATTCGTCCAGACGATACGACGTATTCGCTATATCAGTTGGGTTATAATAAGGCGTCTTCATAGGACACCAATCGTCGTCGCAGTCGTGTTCATCGCTATCCTCGTCTTCCTCATCGCCATATAACTCATCCCTCCTCCCGTTCATCTGATTACTGACAATGACCTGCTCAGCTAGTGCCTCAAGGAGCGTATACCGATCACCTCCACCATCGCCAACGCCATCCCCCGCACACTCCATCAAGCCCTCATACTCACCCCCAAGTTCATCAATAACCGCACGCATCTGCTCACGGTCAACATATTTCCCCACAGCACCCCAATCGGACCCAGGTTTTTCCCCGTCTACTACAGGAATCCCCTTCCAAGCCTGCCGCAGTATCTGCACACAATAATGGAAGAAAAGATAACACTCCTTCGGTCTACCTTCCTGGCCAGAGGCAGGAAATCCTACTTTCGATCCGTCGATATCGCGGAGTGGAACCGGCCTACGGGCATTTGTAAAGGAATTGATATCTTGCATCAGCCCACCCGTCTGTTCGGTCTCTCGATTCTGCGCGAAGATCTTGAGTTTGTATTCTCTTGGCGTGGTGTCTTTCCACAATGCTATTTCGGAGGGGTACGTGGGAGAGGAGATATCGGGAACGATGGCCATGATACCACTGTCGAAGCGTGCTCCCATGTAATCGGGTAGGAGAAGTCCGTTGAACGATGAGAAGAGAGAGGAAGAGGAGTCGATGTTGCTGGAACCGAATAATGCGGTAGCAAGGTCTGGGTTGGACTGAGAGGCGAAAACAGGTAAAGCTTCAAACCGCCGATAGCCTCCGTATTCGTAGGTTCCGGAGAAGATGTTCCAAAGATAACTCCAGTATCTGCGATTGTGTTTTTCCCTGGGATCTACCATTCCTTGGTCTGCGATGATGGAGTTTCTGAAACCGTGGGGCGCGAAGGTGGCTTCTACGTTGAAGCGCGATGGAGGAATGGGAGAAACTGGTATGAGAGACTTCAGTCTGGTGCTTTCTTCAGTCTCAGCTCCTTCAGCTCCAGCAGCACGTCGCTCGTAAATCTTCCCCTTTAAATCCCAAGCCATCATACTCTCCCTGAACAACCGTGCTTTATCCATTCTCATGAACTTGACCTCGGGTCCGTGATCGTCGATGTAGAAGGTACGAAAGTCGTATTCAGCTCTTTCGAGCTGGCACAAGGACAACCATCGACCCAAAACTGCATAATCCATGGCTCTTTCCCAGTACTCTGCACTGGACATATTTCTGTGGTTTAGTTCTTCCCCCAGTTCCTTCATCTTGTCTCTGGCGGTCTCTACCCGTGTGGTGAGCTTTTCTGATTCTTTTTTCCAGGCTTTTGAGATTCTCGAAGAGCGAGACGAAGACGAAGACATGATTGCTTGCGTGCGTGCGACTTTGTATTAAAAGAGGATGTATTAGTCTAAGGACATGGGCTACGAAATGTGTGCAGTTATATTTTGGTAGGAGCGTATGACTCTTTTGTAACGTAATGGTTGGTACCGAGAAGAACATGAACCTGAACCGTGGAACGGGTCAACATTTCTGGCACTCATTCAGTCTTAGTAGCATACACAGTAATTTCCTGTCACTCTTGTAATAATCATAAAAAGGGGGAATGTCGTGTTCTCACAGCTGCGTGACGTCATCTTGTTCACTCTGGAGAGGAAAGAGCCTAGCGCTGGTCGACAACCCTTCTAAGCCTCCCGAGGTCTTCTTCTTTCTTTGTAAAGACAATAACCTGCACAATCCTTCCTACGCGGCGATCAGTTCCACATTTTCCATGGTCACGTATAATTGGACGCGAAAACTTGAAAGATCGCACGTTGCATGACTGCATCTCCTCCCCGCACCTGCCATCGATCCGGATGTCGCGACGCACCTGGGCTTCCCCACCAATCGAGCCACGCTACCTTCGATGAGGAACATGTGCACTAAAAGAGATATTGGGCATCTAGAGTATGCTTGAGAAGCTATGATATGGCGTAGCTACATTCGCCTGGGCACCTCATGCAAAAAAAAAAGCTAAATACGTCTGCAGACTACATCCAGACAAAAACTTTCAAAGTATGTAACCCAACGTCAAGGTAGGCTCCAGGGTGTTTCTTACAGGCAGTTCTTAGTTCTGTGTCATCAACCATTTCCTAATCATGGTGGTGGCTGGCTGAATGATAGTCACTTCGGCAGACTCCACGATAAGTATGCACTGAGGTATTGGACACATATGTGGCACCACATCAATGCCTAGAAGTCTAGACGGGCCTTTCTCGTAAAGCTGTATAGATGCATATGCTCATTTGCTAGGTCTGCTTACAGCATTTTTACCGACTAGGATCAGAACAGGAATGAGGGGTAGTAGCAAGGCTGCGTGCATATCACAAGGAAACTTGGTAATGTGGTTTTCTGGTTCTATTCCCCCGCTGGTTTTGAGTTCTCAAAGATCAGGAAGTCTTCATTATCAGCGCCTTTCCATCACTTAAAACGTACCTATAATGGGCAAAAAGCAACCGCGCGCGGATCCGCCGATGAGGATATTTGTCTTCTGCGATGGAACGGGACAGAACGCGTCCCAAAACGACGAACCTACGCAGGACACGAATGTCCAACGATTCAGGCAATGTGTGCCCGAGACCGAATTCTTCAAACATATATATCGATCAGGTGTAGGGACTAATGCGCCTGATGATGCCAAACCGATGAGCTTTTCCAAGATGGGCGATAAATTGTATGAGGTTACTGGAGGTGGTGAGTGAGCCTACAGTAACTCTTTATAACTATTCATCACACGCCTGAGAACACCAAGTAACAGCGAAATGCAGATATGCACTCGACCATACGTTCGTTGTACCGAGAGCTCTGCGGGAAGTATGAAGATAATGCTGGTGCAGAGATCCACTTGCTTGGATTCTCAAGAGGCGCCTTCGCGGTTCGTAGTCTGGCGTGTCTGATCGACAAAGTAGGTCTACTGAGAAAAAAACACCTACAAAAGTTCTGCGATGATGTTTACGAGACTTGGAGATCCCAGGACGAAGACAGATTCAAAAAATGGGCCGCAAAAGATGGATGGCACCAGGCAATTTTTCCTGTCAAAATTACCAGCTGCGGGGTCTGGGATACCGTATCAGCTCTGTTACCCCCCTCCACCCTCTCATTTGTGAATCATTGGGTGCCTAGCAACCTCAGTTTTGCGTTTCAAGCGCTAGCGCTGCACGAGCGAAGATATTTGTTTAATCCGAAACTCTGGAAACACGCGTCGAGGAGCAAGACACGGATATATCAGTGCTGGTTTGCTGGGGATCACTCAGATATTGGCGGTAGCTGGCCTGACTGTGGACTTGCAAACCTGACATTGATCTGGATGTTGGCCCAGTATGAGAAACATTTCCCTCAAATGTCCATCAATCGCAGGCACCTATCGGAGCGTCTTTGTCCACCTGGTGCTGCATTTCCCTCCCTGAGTCACACGCTAAGCACCGGTAAGTATACTAATGGTACGCGATAGGTGATCAAGAGGTTGACGTTTGTTCTTAGGCAATGTACATCACCGTACACTTCCAGCGACACGACTGGATGGCGCTGGAGTTCGAGAACACCTTCTGGGACAAGACGCTAGAAATACTTATGATGATTCTCATCAGCAGACGATACACTTTACGGTTCGCCTCTTTTTGGCTGAAAAGCGGCAAGAGGTTACGCAAAGCGATTGCCCACTCACGGCTGGGTCTGCTGTACCTACGCTCCGATATGATGCTGATCAGCCACCCATGGCCTGGTTACTGGAGAAGTCGAAGAAAAAGAAGGAACTTGAGAGAGAGGAAACCAAGAACAAGAATGAGAAGAAGGGGAAAGCCACATGGACAAAGAAGGCGAAGAATGATGATCCAGATACCCTTATCATCATGGAAGATGAACCAAGCGAGGGTAATGTAGCCGCCCCGAATACTTCACAAGATATCTTGCTAAGTTCTTACTAGTATTTATCCCCCTTGCTATGCTTTGGCCAAGGCGCTTCTGATATGTATTATTATCCGTGTTAACAGCTTGACAGTGGGAGGTCGATATGATCCACGAGTGGACCAGGAGAGCAGATAAACTCGCCAACAAAACGGAAGATAACATCCTCCAGGAGGGTATCGAGGTGCACCACATGACCGGCGACAAGCTTGTTATTGGATACACGGACCACGGCGAGCATCGCGACATCACTGTCGAACAAGCATGGCACAGCAGCCTAGAACATTTCCTCTGTGAGAATGAAAACCAAGGTACTTGCGAAGTAGCACACAGGGCTCGCTACTTTGGAGGAACGGTGGCCCAAGAAGCATCGGCTGATCCCGTGAATCCTCTTCGAAGGAGTTCATCGGTAGGACCACCACTATCTGAAAGGATAATTACGTTTGAGGAACGAAATGACCGCCGGAGGCGATCATCAAGTACGCGATCAGTCTCACCACCATCCAGAACCGTGTCTTCATTCCGCAGTCAGCGCATCCTTAGGAGAGCTTAGCTTAGGCGATGATAACAGCGCTGAAACCATGAAGACATCAACTGTAGCGTCTTATTCACGAGTACGACCTATCATGTGTTCCTGATAGATACCAGTAGCAGTTCCTCTTGTAAGTTGTCGTGATCATGTCTACCTCAAAAAGGACTTTGCTTGATCAGCCCATATCACGACGTCTCCATGTATACCCCAACCAGCACGTCCAGTTTCAACATAACTTGCAAATCTCATCTCAAATTACAACTCCCCAACTACCTTTATGCTAGCCAAAACGCCCAAATAGCGCCGTTCCCCATACCCAAAACACCAATGTATGCGAACAGTATGCAAACACGCTCAACAGTAGATTGTCACAGACAACAGCACAGCAATAGCAGCAAAGAGACACAGTCAAAGTCGCCGCGATCAAGCCTTCAACCTCCTCTCCTCGCACCTGACACAAACCGGATCCTGACTCTCACCGCGAAGGAAATACCTCCCATCTTCAAAAGGACCAGAGCAGCACTATCACACAAGTTAGCAAAAACGTCACTTCACACTAAGAACAAGACCGGCAAGACTTACAACGCAAACAAAGCACCCCACATGCCACTCCGCCCCCAGTGCCTTGACAACCGTATCGGTAACCGGTTTCCTACACCCCTTACACTTCGTACTATACCGATGCGTATGACAATTAACACACCAAGCATACCCATCCTTCTCTACAAACGGCGTATTGCTATCAAACGGATCGCCACACTGAGCACAGAAAAAGTGACCCGCATGCCACTCGGCGCCACAAGCCACAATAACCTCGCCTTCAATAGGTGTCTTGCAGCTCTTGCAGCGGGGCGAAAACAGCTCGTGGAAATCGAGGTGGCAGTAGAAGCGGGGCGTTTCGTCTGTGCCGTCGTCGTGCTCGAGGCGCGCCATGGAGTCTGCGGTGGGGTGCGAGGGCAGGTACGGGATGTCGGCGCCGGAGAGGCGGGCGCGGATGCGCGAGACGCGTTCGGCGTGTTTGTTGGAGGGTTCTGGGTAGAAGGCTACGCATTCGAGGTGCTCGCCGCATTGGTAGCAGGCGAAGCATTCCGGGTGGAAGCGCGCGCCAGAGGCGGAGACGATGCGGCCGGCGATGGGGAGGGCGCATTGGGCGCAGAGGGCGCCGGTGCGGACGGTGGTTGGGGTCCAGTGGGTGCGAGGGGTGGCTGTGCCGTTGTAGCTGTGGGATTTGTTCTGGGCGTTTGGTACGGGTAGCGGTCGTGTTGATGCGGCTGGGCCAAAGCCTTTGGGGGTGTTGACGTTGATCGAAGGCACTGAAGGGCTGACGTTGATAGAAGGTACATTGCTGTTGCGTCCCCGAGTCGGAGCTGGGGTCTCATTGACGGATATGGTCGGAATGTCGGGAGTCACGTTGATAGATGGTGTAGTCGCTCCCCTTCTCAGCGCGGGCGTCTCGCTCACAGAGATGCTGGGTATTGGTGGAGCGTTGCCTCTTGACCCACGGTTTGGCGCTGGCGATTCGCTAACAGATATCGAAGGGACTTCGGGTGTCACAGAGATTGAAGGTGTTGTAGAGCCTCGTCTCGGTGCTGGAGTCTCGCTGACTGATATGCTGGGAATAGGTGGCGTAGCACTCGTTGGCGGGACGTAGGGGCCACGGTTGAACATATTCTTCCTGGCCGAAATCGACGGGGTCTCGGACACGGAAATAGAAGGAACTGGCGGCGCGGGTGTCGTCCTCGAACGTGCAGGCCCTGAGTCAGACACATTGATACTAGGCAGAGGAGTTGGAGAAGGACGAGTGGGTATATTAGCTTTCCTTAGCGAGCTGGTGAGCGGCAAAGGTCTTGATGGGGCTGGGGGGTCCTCGTAGATGTTGATGGTAGGTTTATTTTTCAGATTGAACCGTCCAGGTGCGGGCGCGGAATTAGATGAGCTATTGGCCTCTGGAGCCGCAGGCGGTCTTGGAGTTGTGCTTCGTTCTGGTACGTCCGGTGCAAGGCTGGTTTTAGGCTCGGAAGGAACGCTGATCTCTGGAACCTGCGGTCTCGGAGTAATGTTCCGTTTGGGCACTTCTGGTGCGAGACTGATAGTAGGTACGACAGGCTCAGTTGCGGCGTGCTCAAGTGGCGGTGGGCCAGACTTGGTTGTATTTAAAGGTTTTGGTGTCAGATCAGGTGCGGCCGAGATCTCTTCCTTCATCTCGATCACATTCCAGTTTTTCTGGAAAGAAACGATCGGTCGCCCTGGGGCATCTGAGACCGCGGTAGGAGTAGGTAGCTTTGCACTACGGTCCTTCAGACGAAAGCCTGTGGCAGCACGTAGCTCGTCGCTCCTGATCTCCTTGCCATCCTTCATCTTCACCTCCGGAACATTCTCCACGTCCGCCTTGACATCTTCTGCTGGCTTCGATTCTGCCGAGTTCAGGGTATACGCTGCGTTTCTCGATTGGGTCGGTGGGTTTTTCTGTATCTCGTAGCGGTCGAAGCGTTTCGTCGCAATGGCAGGATCCGTGCTGGACCTCACCAGTGGGTTCCCCTTGATCGATTGGAAACGCATAAAGGGATTGCGCCGTATGCCTAGTGGTAGTTTCTCGGTCTTGGGTGGTTCGGCGGCGGGGGTGGGTTTAGGAGCAGGCGGTGCTTCCTCTTCGGGTTCTTCGTATATCTGGTCGTTCGGGTTGGAGAAAAGACTCCCGCTGATGGTTCGACGGGGTCCGCTGCTTCTTCGTCGTTGTCTGAAGTCTGGGAGGTCTGAGATGGCTTTGGCTAATGCTGGTGACTCGCCGTTCTTACCCTTGATAATATCAAAGCTGCTCTTGGTAGGCGACGCGGTTCCAGCAGCTGATGTATCGGCATCGCCTGCACGGCCGTTGCTCTGCAAGCTGCTACTCCGGCTCCCTGACGCGGCACTGCCCATCGAATGTCGCTTCCGCAGTTTAGAATTGGCCCGTTGCAGATCCTGATCCTTCGGCTCGACGCTCCGACTCCTCTGCGCGCTGTTCTTCCTGGCCAGACCCGGGTATGCATACGGTTTGGTCGGACTCGCCGCGGCGGCATGGGGATTGCAATGCTTCCAGACCAATTCGACGGCTTCGTCTCGTGCAGCCTCGAATATCTTGCCCTCCTCCTTTGCAAGTTCCAAGTCCTCCATGGCCACGCGTATAGCCCGTGCCTCGTCCTGCTCTGCCTGGCGCTGTTCCCTCTCGCGGTATTGCACGCTGGGTGTGCGCGATCCTGACGAAGACCGTGATGTCTCCCGCCCGCGTGGTGGCTGTACTAGTGGCCTTCCAACACTGGCTACGACTTCATCTAGGCTCGCTTTGGACGTTGTTCGGGTATGCGACTTCGGTTGGTGCGAGGAGGCGGGACGTGCATCGGCGTCGACGACAGGGTCTGTGAAGGTACGCTGTAGGGAGGATATGCCAGTCGAGTCGGACATTCGGTTGTTGGATCTATTCGACCATGTGTTGAAGTGTGCAGGAGCAGGTCGAGCTCCGGTGGGACGAGCGGGGCGGTTTGTGCGAAGGTCTTGAAGATAGCTCTCTATGCCAATCGTCAGTATGGCAGGTGCGAAGGCGTCGCTATAGTTCTTACTCATTTGGGACGGCGAATAGTAGGCTCCAGGCCCTGGTGACGCAGCACCTTCCCTCTCCTTCGACGTGAACATTGCGAATATACGTCGGCCTCGGTGTTTACTGCTCTGTTTGCTGTACGGTTGTCGGTGCACCAGTCGGGAGTGCCAGCTTTTCTGCCCAGAGAAACAGGGATAGAGAACGATATGTGAAGAAGTGAAGATTAATTGTACGACTCGACGCAGCGAAAAAGCGGTGGTGATGTGGTTGCGATGCTGCACGTAGCTTCTCGATCCGGTTGCCCAGCAACTGCAGGTGTGACGCAGACCGCCCCCATCCCTGCAAGCCTCATTATCCCCGGATCTTCAGGGTCCTTTCATCGAGAGCATGGCTAAGTATCGATTGCAATCGATATGATATGTTAGCTTCAAAAACAACGAGTTCGCCTCGATAATGACATCTGTCAACGCGTTCGCAATTTCGATCCGAGGTGGTTCCGTCGATGTACATGTCTAGCCGCGTGCACGGATCCGGGGGAATGTCACAAGGACCCAGGATGATACCTGGGTATGCCAGTTCCAGTGTTGTTTTTACATGATAGTATACAACGTTCGTTCTATCCGCCCTCTATAATGCGTAGGTAGCACTACGTCATCTAAAACCGTCGGCAAGCGATTACCAGAAAGCACGCGAAGCCAATGTGCGCGTGACCTAAAAGTCAAGCCCACCCATGCTATCAGCCCTAACACCAAATCCAATCCAAGCGAAAGTGGGTATCCTGCTATTTCAATGTACACATCCCCAAACAACGAATCTCATCATACTCCAGCAGCATTCGGTTGATTCTCATGCCCAGGGCCAACTGAATCCCATCCCATCGTGACGCTTTCCAACATCGAATCCCAGGACGCGTCTGCCATGGGCGTCAGGCCTGTCCCCGCGTTCAACGCTGCGTATTCCCATTCGTTACCCATTACGAAGCCATCAGTATAAGCTTCGTTGCCCATGTTTCTAGGTAGATTGAAGCCATTTGTAGGAAATGTTCCTCCATTAGCTGCGAGGTCTGGGAAGACGCTGCCAGAGCCTGGCCCCGTCATCTTTGGAGATGCCCGGTATGGCATGTTGTGTTCGATTGGTTGGCCTGGTGAGTAAGAAGAATGTGACGTCGAGCCTCCTCTTGACTGTGAGCTTATTGTGGCGGGGCTGGGCTGATCGACACCCCTATCGCCTCCGGAGAGGTCCATCTCGTTGTCCTGGAAAGTAAAGCCGCCGGCGGGCGCGAAGGCTTGAGCTGCAGTACTCCCGAAGCCTCTGTTTGAATCAAATTGAGATGGTAAGAAGGTCGCATTGTGCGCGTTCATGTCGATACTGTCGATATTGTGCAGTTGGAATGGCGGAGCAGGGGCGCTGCTCGAGTATTGCGTATTGGAAGTCGATGCCGATGTGGTTGGAATGCCGTTCCCGAACGTACTGGGGGGTGCGGCAGGTTGATTCGGTTCGCGTATATTGATTAACGGACTGCAGGCGATTTGCGGATCAGAATGGATCGAAATGATGGTAGGCTATGGGTCAGGAATTAGTAACTTACTTGGGATAACTCTGACTTAATCGACTCCCAATCGTATCACTGAGTCCCTGGAGAACCTCTGGGGTTTGACTCACTTTGCGCGTGGGCTGTGTGTATGGCTGATGACGCATGCCCTGCAGACCTGCACCCTCTAGATCAAGATCTAATTGCACCAAGAACGACTCTGTGAGTGGGTTCTTCCGTCGAAGAGCTTCCATCGCCTGTAAGAGGAATTGTAACGAGGATTTCATCTGTTGGTCTTTCGGCCGCGTCTTCAGGTATTGGACGAATACCCTTGCTGCTACGTAAACACAGAAAGATATAAAAGGATTCATCTGCCCAAATCAGTAAACGCCAATCGTCGGCCGTTACCAAAAGACTTACTGAACCGAGGTCCATATGACTGATCATCCGCATGATGGAAGCAATCTCGGCTGCTGCTGTTACGCAACGAATCTTGCTTTCATTGCTGACGCTTGCTGGTAGCCGGAATTTGTCTGCTTTGAAGATGGCTGCTTGGTGAAGACATATTGCCGACGTATGTATGCACATGTTCGTGAACACTACGTTGGGTTCGGCTATACCGGATGGCAGGCGGATGCTATCCGGCAGGCTCAGCGAGGTCTGCAGAAGTATACGCTCGATGCTTCGATGTCGATTCCAGAATCCGCCATTGATATCGTTCTCGTTGTCATCTGACAGTGGTCGATGTAAATGAAGCAGATTACGGCCAAACATTGCAGCTGTAAGGACGATACCGCCAAGTGGTTGAAGGTTTTGCACGCCATTAGGATTGAGTAATTGGTCCAGTGATCCAGTATCCATGGGCTTACTCTTGTCGAACGCTTCTTCGCTTGCTGGCAGGTTTGTCATGATCTAAGAAAACAGTCAGGCTTTGCAGTAGTATGAGCACGAGAGGTGTGTCCTTACGTCTTTCTCATCGTAGGTCATGGGCCAGCCAGTTCCAATACTCGCGTATCGATCAATGCAAAAGGTTAGCCAAAAGGTTCTCCGCCGTTCCTCACGCTCGGTCCAATCCTTGGGTGGAGCCAAGCATTGCTTTACATCTAGTCCAACTCCGTCCAGGCGATGCAGCTGCATCATCTGGGCTAGTCTTGAACCTCTCCCGGATGACATCCAGGCTCTTGGGAAGTACATCTGTCTGAACTCGTACGTAGCCATCAAAACCCATGTCTGGCAATGCGCAAGGGTGATGGTCGACTCTCCGTGGCCTCTCATCTCATCCATCTGCGCATATTTCCTAGCACGTTGGTAGAAATGTTCTTGTAACGCCTCATACTTGTCTGTGATGGAAGCGGCTAGGGTCCACATGATATATCGCAGACAAACCGGCGGTCGCATATGAGGAGCCAGGTTCAGAGCGGCCATGAACCGTGGTCTGTGTATGACGGGCATTGAGAGATGGATCTTGGCGAAATATATTTGATATCTGGCAAAATGTCAGCGAAATCACCGTGCTACAGGCAGGATTCGGCTCGTACAAATCGTCCTGGATTTCTTGAGGAGGTAGAGGTTCCTCGAGCCCAAGCCCAATCATCTCCCACGAGGTGTCCTCCGCATCATTTCCGCTTGTACCGGTATTTTGGAATGGGCTTGCACCAGTAATTCTCGACTGAGTATTGCCTGCTGTATTGGGAACATTTGTAGAATTCGGCAGCGATTGACTTATGGTATTCGCAACGTATGTGGAAGAGGCGTCCTGGCGCGGGGCTTCCTTGCTCGGGTCGGTCGTGTCTTGGGTCTTGAGGAGGGTCTCGACTTGCTCTGTATCCCATGAGTCAGTACCATCCACCAGCAGAAGTATGCGCAACTTACGCAGCCGTTGTTCGAGCAGCTTGACATAGCCGCGCTTGGGTCCACTTTTCTTGCGTACTTCGTCGTATGCGCAATCGTGGTTCAGACGTTTACAGGTCGAACATGTTGGCCGGGTGCCGTCGCATCGCAACTTCCGCTTCCTACACAGAACACAGGCAATTCTCTTGACCTTGCTTGATCCATCCTGTTGCGTTTCCTGACCGTTGGTAGCATTCGGGTCTTGCGCTTGTTGGGACAGGTCGTTGAAGAACGACTCGTCTGGCGATTCGGATCCGTTGGAAGCCATGTTGGCGAATCTTGTTGGTCTTTGGCAGTCCAGGAGGAGTCTTGGATCCACGTTGGCTCAGACGAACCGCCCCCGCGTAAGCACGGCTCAAACGGATAAGGGTCCTCTGTCAAGCCACGATTTCCGTTTGATTGCGAGATCTTAATCGAAGCTACGTCGGCAGTATAACGGTCGCTCTAAGCGTCGGTGTCGGTGAAGACCTCGGAGTCTCGAATGCGCGCGGGTAGGCACCAGCGGTTGATCAGCACTGAGAGCGCGTTATGCCTCTAAGGTGGGTGTAAGAGTAGGATGTTAGAAGTGCATGTGCTATTGGGTGTAGAACAGGCCATGGCTGAGCTACGCTCATGTACCTGGTCTCACCTGCAAGGCCGTCCGCGCAATGCGTGTTGCCTTAAGCGTGAGGTGATGTGCAACGTCGAGCATATGGACTAATTATGGCGGATCTCCCGAGTCTTGGGATTGCCAGCAAGGACCCCCTACCGTAAGTTCGTAGCTACATAGACGATTACTGATACAGAAAGTTTGTTCTTTAGGTCCTGATAGCTACTCTGGAGCCCATGGTGTCTCTTTGCGTGCCCTGTTGCGCATGTGGTTGTTTCGTGGCTGCAAGGTGCTGTATGCAGCTTCGCCAGAGCGGCATGGTGGGGCAGTAGTCCAGCCCAAGATGGATCAAAATGCGACCGATCTACGCGCAGCGTCTTGTGTCATCAACCCAAACATGGAGACCAGGTGTCGGCCTGTCAACGGTCACACCAGTAGTAATCATGAATTCACGTACTTGAACGGTGCGCGCAGAGATAAGAATGCTCAAAGTTAAATAATGATGCCACCTACTGTTCATTACACGACTTGATGAGCTCGTGGCAGGAGATCTGGTTCTGCCCAGGCCACAAGCAGCCAAGTGATCTATGCATGCCCAGGAAGCCGTGGTCGTGAGATTGCAGAAGAGCCGCAACGTCCAAAGTTCCGACCCCCGAGCTTGGACTCTGCTGGCACACTTCAGGACCTCAGATGCGACCGAGAGAGTCCCCGAGCCTCGAGTATTTGATGAAGGCGAAATTCGAGCAGATGATGACGGATTGCTTGAACAGGGGATGCACGTTTGGTTGTGCGATGCGCATGATGGGGTATCGGTAAAGCACTGGGGTAGCCAGACCAGCTGGAGTCTAGACAGCACAGCTAACATTATGCATTTGCTGCTGTTGTGCAAACATGTCGAAACGCAACTGGGTGAGTACTGATGTATATTGGTAGACGGCATGGCATGCGACTACAGTATATGGTACAGCTGCATCTTGAGCATATAGTACACCGGCGGCCACCCTACCTCGCCCTCCGCTTTCCTTGGTTGCGGGGTTTATCTTGGACGAGGAATGTGTGCTTGTTCCTCTTGTGCCTCGTTTTGTAACCTCCCTTTGCAGGAGTGCCCCACGGACTGACGGGGTGCACGTTACCCTTTGATTTACCACGACCACCACCGTGGGGATGATCGGCTGCGACATGTTAGAAGACTGCAACTGAAGTGAATGATTCGAGAACTGACCTGCGTTCATGGCGAGACCACGGACCTCTGGTCGCTTTCCGAGCCACCGTGAACGTCCGGCCTTTCCGAGTGATGTGAAGTGTGATTGCGGGTTGCTGGCAACGCCAATAGTGCAGCATGCGTCTGCGCTGACTTTGCGGATTTCACCGCTCATCAAGCGGATGATAACGTGCTTGATCTCTGAGTTGTTGCCCTTCTCCACCTCCTCCTTGTTCACGATGATGGCGTATGTACCGGCACTGCGACAGAAGACACCCCCACCTTTTGTCTTGGTACCAACGTTGTATACCTGCGAACCGAGGGGCACCATGTGGATAGGAAGGCAGTTTCCACGTGCGGCTGTCTTCGCGGCCAGCATACCGGGATCAATGCCACCACCCATGCTGTCAATCAGGTCCTTGGGAATACCTGTCCTGTAGCTCTCGACCTCATCGCCCGCCCTCATGCCATCTGCGGCGATGATGTACGACTTCTCTCCAGTAGCCACGCGGGTGATGAGGGCCAGATGCGAGCTCCGGTTGGGGTCGTACTCTATCCGCTCCACCACATGCTTGCCGGGTAGGTATCGCTTGTAGTCGACGATGCGTATCCTCCTCTTGTGGCCACCACCTCTGTGTCTGACCGTGACCCGTCCTGTGTTGTTCCTTCCTCCGAGATGCTGCCCCTTCCGTTCGATGGTGAGCTTCAGGTGCGGTCGTCCCTTCCACAGGTGGTCGTTGACGGGTCGTTTGAGATGGCGCAGACCAGGCGTGCGGGGCTTGTATGTGCGCAGAGGGATAAACTTCTCCTTTCGCGAGCCTTCCTGTTTCAGTACTCCGGCGTCGGCAGCCACGGTAGGCTGTATCGCTGGGGGAGGTTTAAGGTCGATGGCCTGGACCTGTGCGTAGGTGCGGGCAGACAGCAGCGCCCGGCCCAGTCGCGAGGGCTGGAAACGACGTATCCGCGGCTGCAGCATATCTGGGAGTGCAGCTGGGGACGCTGGATGCTTCACGCTGGTGCAATGGACGCCGGCTGGATGGCGTGCAGCTGCTCGTCATGTCACGAATAATTCTCAAACCCGCCGCAATTGGCTAGGCCGGCCCGGGTGGGTCGGGCAGGCAGGGCGCGATGTCCCAGCAACAACGTGTGTCTGCTTCCTCGCCCACCACAACACGCTCGTCGTCTTCGCCATCTTTACGCTGCACTTGCCAGAACCCCCATCTCACAGCCCAGCTGCTCGCCCGCGACCCATCTTACTGCACGGGCAAAGTTTACGCGTTGGGGCCTGGTGTCATCTCTGGTAAGTCCACTGACGCGCCTGTGGGGCGTGCACTGTTGCCCTCTGCCAGCCTCGAATGCGATTTTGGCGCGTGGGACGTGGAAGCCAAGCTAGCCTGCCCTCGCTCAAAACACACAACATACCTCTCTTCCTACCCACAACACACCTTGGTGCACATCCTCTCTCGCCCTCCCCCATCCTCCACACTCCCTCTCACGACTGATTGCAGCTGGACCGTTACCCTGTCCACTCAATTACCACGCACCGAGCGCTCCAAGGGTTCGTCTCTCTCGCCCGTCACGTCACCGTCGCTGCCGCACCCCATCGGGCGTGTCAGTCCGGTCAGCTTTCGCGAGCATCAACCGTGGTTCTGTATGCAACATCGCTGCATGCACACCGCGGCTCTTGATGCTCCCGCGTTGGCAGCCTCTACGCGCGCTTTTTCAAGCTTCACCGAGCTCTGCTGACACCTCAAAACAGTGTATCAAAACAAGTCCTACAGCCGCCATTCCACTCTCCAGATATACTCAGCACCTGGATACCTCTCTAGCCTTGATCAGCATACATAATATTGCTTGCAATGCCTCCCGCTGTACGTTGTCGCCCTTTCACCTGCTTTCGTGTCGTCCCATCTCGCATCGGCGCGAAGCAACACGTTCATCACGATTCACTCTACTAACGCGTGTTACAGGCTCGATCTCTCAGGCAGCGCGCCGTCACCAACGAGAACGATGAGAACGCGGCTACGACACGCTTGACGCGTGCAAAGGCCGCCAACCTCGGCGCCAACGAGTCTGCTGCCGACGTGCCCAAGAAGACTCTCCAGGCGAAGAAGTCTACTGCTACTCTAGGCGCGAACGGTGCTGCCACGCGTAAGCGTGCTGCCCTCGGTGACGTCAGCAATGTCACCAAGACCGACGGCCTCGGTGCTGTCGCGAAGGATGGAAAGAAGGTCCTGGCCACCAAGGGCGCAGTCTCCAAAGCAGCACAGCCCACCGGCATCAAGAAGCCATCGCGGGCCAACTCGACGCGTTCCATGTTAGAACCCAAGGAGAAGAACCTCGCGTCATCCGAGGTGAAGAAGCGCGGTGCCAGCGGCAACGGTATCGCCGGCCAACCAGCCAAGAAGCGAATGCAAATTACCAAGACCGTCAAGGAAGAGGACCCCGAGGAGGAGCTCAAGGAGGAAGATGAAGAGGAGGCTGAGAACGTTGTCCCAGAGGAGAACGTTACCGAGGAGAAGGACACCAAGGCTGCCAACGGCACCAAGAAGGAGCTCGAGCCCATCACAGAGGTCTTCTACAAGGGCCCAGACCTAGACAAGGAGGACGTCGATGACCCATTGATGGTTTCCGAGTACGTTGTTGAGATCTTTGAGTACCTCAAGGAGCTAGAGATTGCGACCATGGCCAACCCGGACTATATGGAGTCCCAGACTGAGCTTGAGTGGAAGATGCGCGGTATTCTCGTCGACTGGTTACTCGAAGTTCACACTCGCTTCCGCCTCCTCCCGGAGACTCTCTTCCTTGCTGTCAACATCATCGACCGCTTCCTCTCAGCCAAGATCGTCCAGCTTGACCGTCTTCAGTTGGTTGGTGTCACCGCCATGTTCATCGCGTCCAAGTACGAGGAGGTCCTCTCTCCCCACGTCCAGAACTTCCGTCACGTCGCCGATGATGGCTTCACCGAGGAGGAGATCCTCAGCGCCGAGCGTTTCGTCCTCGCTGCCCTCAACTACGACCTGAGCTACCCCAACCCCATGAACTTCCTCCGCCGGATATCAAAGGCCGACAACTACGACATCCAGACCCGCACACTGGGCAAGTACCTCCTCGAGATCGGCTGCCTGGATCACCGCTTCCTCGCCCACCCCCCCAGCCAAGTCGCTGCCGCTGCCATGTACCTTGCCCGCCTCGTCCTCGAGCGTGGCCCTTGGGACGAGACCCTCACACACTACGCCGGCTACAGCGAGGAGGAGATCCAGCCTGTCCTGCAGCTGATGATCGACTACCTCTCCAGCCCTGTCATTCACGAGGCCTTCTTTAAGAAGTATGCTAGCAAGAAGTTCTTGAAGGGTAAGTCATCGCATACTCCACTCTGTCGTTCACAACTAACATTCACCAGCATCCATCGTTCTACGCAAGTGGGCAAAGGACTACGTCGCTGCCTACGGTAACGCGCTCCAAGAAGAGGAGGAGG